AATGTTGGAGAAGAGTGGGTGACACGTCACAACTGCCTGCAAGACAGTGAAATAGAGGGCCAACCAATTTGGCCTAGTTTGTTATGTCACCCGGCCATAGTTTCCAGAGGCAATGTAAACGAAACCGGATGAGGCAATAATTAGGACACGCGAAGCAAAGTGGTATCACCGTGTGTGCTTACTACAGCGTATGAAGGCGATGGAACCATTTCAGTAATCACTAGCATTAGAAGGTCTCCTCCACTAAAAATAAACTTTAAAATGGGACCTTGGCAAACTTTTGTCGAAATAGGGGATTTGACATATCTATTGACTGGTTAGACGTGTTCTAAGCTGCAAATAACACAATCCGCTTTTTTTCCTTATTAAAGAATAATTTGGCTGATAAATGAGCAGACAGATGTTTGCATTTCATGTGAATAGGTGTGGTAAGGTACGCCTATCAAAGAGTGAACATTCCTTACACAGTCTTGGAAGGAAGTGCATGAATAGGATATTCTTGTAAATTAGGTTAAAATTGGCATAGTTCCATGCTCGGAAATACTTGCCACGCCCATTACAAAATTTTGATCTATCCCTCCCCTCCCCCCCCCCCCCCCCCCCCCTATATTGCACTCGACCCATCTTTGGAAATATGGAACACTGTTTTCATCCACCCAGTAAGAGAGAGAGAGAGGTTGGTGAATGTAGTTTATCAAAAAAACTTATGCTTAAGCGACTTTCTTGAAATGACAAAGCTCTGCAAACCAAAAAATGTGTTGTGTTTAACAAATGGAAGTGGCAAAATAGATCAATGCGCTTGAAAATTCAATAAAGCACTTATTGCAATCCAAGAAATGGATCGTTACCTTTAAAGCTTGGAGCACGAACCGCCATATTGGCGCAGACATTACAACCTGAACTCTGATCACACCATCTTCTCCATCCTCTCCCCTTCGACACTTGTTTGACATTCTGTTAACCGAACTCAAATGCGTCCCATAGGGGGAAAATGACAGAAACTTTGATTACAATGGGTAGAAGCAATGTCAGGGGACCCCACAACAGCTGAGATACACGAATTTAAAAAAAACTCTACCAGCTGCTGAGAGAAAAAACAAAACAGTGGTCCTATAATGGATTCCTCGTCAATGTGGCATAAAAGGCAACGAGATTGCTGATGCACTGGCTAAGAAGGGGACAACAAGTTTGCAAGGCCTAGACCGGCCGTTGTCTTTCCACACAATGAAGATCTTAATCGGGAGAGAATTCAAGACCTCAAGGTGTAACGAACTTAAAGCTCGAACAATGGAGAAACTGTGGGTAGTGGCACTCTTCGACATAGCCAACTGGCCAAGAATCGAAGCCGTTGCTGAGTTTAAACTACGTACCGGACATAATTGCCTGGCAATAAACCTTCACAGATTGGGATTATACACTCAACCCACATGCCCCCTTCACAGATTGGGAGTATACACTCAACCCATATGCCCTTTCACAGACTGGGAGTATACACTCAACCCACATGCCCTCTGGATTGGGAGTATACACTCAACCCACATGCCCCCTATGTAGCCTTGGGATTATACACTCAACCCACATGCCCTCTATGTAACCTGCAGAAAACCCACCTGATTCGGTGCCCAGCCCTAAAGACAATGAAGGAAACTCAGAGATACTGGGAAGCCAGAAGACAACTAATGAACTGCTATTAATTAACTGCTATATATGTTCTCCCCCCTTATGAAAGCCGAAGTCAAATGAGGAACTAATGATAAATATCATAAAGCCTGCAAATAGAAATAAATAAATGTCAGGGGGACCCTATCGATAAGGCGTAACGAAGAATAAAATGACAAAGCTTACTTTACATTTCTTTGAAAGTTTCGGGTAAATGAATGTAAAAATCAGCGGGATATAAACAAAATGATTGAAAACAAGCTCTTACAGGCATATAGATATTTGGTAATTATGAAAACCACACAATCACATGCTCAGACCACGTACTAGCACCTTATTTTAGAAACTGTACACAAAATCATTATAAAAAATAATAACTTTGCATAGATACGACAAAATTTCATGTTATTTTTATAAAAAAACTGTTTAAGAATACTATTCTTCAATGTTTTAATGATGGAAGCACTCTTTAATTTCCACGGTTGATTCATATGAATTTGAATAATATTTTAGATCCCACATCAGGCTTCTAAATTACAAATAATCAATAAAAGAATAAAGGTGAAAATCAATTGTCATTGAGGAAAGAGTTCAATTACTGAAACTTTCATTCATATTTATTTATGTCAAATGGCAGGCGTTTTGATAGTTATCATTAGACCTTTAGCTGACATCGCAAATGGCAGGCGTTTTGATAGTTATCATTAGACCTTTAGCTGACATCGGGCTTCACAGAGAGGAGGAAGAACATCAAAGTGATAAAAAGTCGAGATGGGGGGACAGAATAATGATTCACAGATATGAAAGGCTCAGACAGACACAAAGGCAAAGAAAAGGTAACATGAGTACTGTAGAAGTGTTTGAATATGACATACACAGTTGGGGACATTGTAGTTTGAAGTCAGAATCACCGCGTGGAGGTAAGTCTATCGCACACACCGCTTCCTTTTACATAAATCTATCAGAGTTTGGAATTAATAACTAAACTATTTGAATTATGAAATGTAAAAATTTTAATCAATGTGATTTCTTTAAAGGTGCCAACTCTCAAGTTGATGTAAGTAACCCAGATGAGGTATACATAGCCTTTTTAACACCGCTACAGCCAATTGACTGGATTTTTTTGTAATACAAAAGAAAGGAAAATTTTCCCTAAAACCTCTGACGTCAAATATCTGTTGTGACTTTAATCTAATGTTACATAGTCGCAGTCTATGAAACCGTTTGGGAAAAAAATTACTTGAATGATAAATTTCGGATCGTAGATTTTATCGATTTTTTATAACGCAAGCCAAATATCATAATATGACCTTGAATAGGACAGATTACTTCCTTGGTAAATACCTTGGTGAATTAAGCATTAGCTATTGGTTTCAATTTCACTCTCCCACCACCTCATCTCAGAAATGGTGAGTGCTGTTATAACGGATAGATTTAATGGAGGCTTTTACTTGTGAATTGCCCTATTTCAAGCTCCTTTGAAAGTGATAAGATTTAAGTAACACACACGTTGTACAAATTCATTCAACTACGGCTTAAAAAGAAAAGAATCAAAATTGAAAGGAGGCAATGTATTATCGAAGTCCATAGGCAGAATAATATTGTGGTAGCCGTTTGTAACATGCAAGAAACCTAGCAGAACCGCAGAGGAGCTGAAGAAGAACTCGTTGTTCAAAGCAAAGGTATCAGTTGTATATAAATATGTAGGGCGTCTAATATTATTGGTCCTGTCAAGTTCAAAACTGAAAGGTTCTAAGACAGGGTCATGACCGCTATCTTTGAAATTCAAGAGAAGGGATATTGGTAGATAGATTTCTGGGAGGGACAGAAATTTGTCACCTTAAGTGATTATTCAAGAGTTTTGAAGAAGTTGATGACATCCCACGACAATAAACGTCGTGAGAAACTGTATGGTCAAATTTGTTCCAACATGAAATGCCTGTGCGGATTCTTCAAAAGCAGTCAAGGCTTTGATTGTTCCTATTCTGATGGGAAGCGCTTCCACATCCACCTTATGATCCTGACTTCGTTCCCGCAGACATTTTTGCATCCAAAACTGAAAGAACACATTGAAGACCCTGATTTACGTATTCTGATGAAACGAAAAAAACATCCAATTTTACGTTGTCAAAGACAGCTCCCAAAATTCTACCACGAGGGAATTTACGTGTTGGAATATAGATTACATAAGTGCATAGATAACAATGGAGCCTATGTAGAAAAGTGAACGTGATCAATCGTTAAATAAATAAAAATACTGAAATTTGTCTGGGAAGGAACTTGGCGGTGGAAGCAAGGGTCTATCAGGAAAGAAAGTGAGTTCGATTGGAGCTTCTTGGTAAAAAGAGTGCTCCATGTAGCAGCTTCCGCATTTGAAGAAAAAATCGCGTACAAATTTGAAGGTTTAGAAAGTGCCTTCCTCCCCAATATATTTACAAAGTAAAGAGCTTACGATGGAATGAGCTTTAACTAAGATCCCTCACTTTATTGTCAAGGGAGTGATTCACTATCAGCGAGACTCTTATTCAATATAGATCAATAATACAGAGTGGCCTTTCATTAAAGCTGTCACTAACCGAGATGCAAATCATTGATCTATCTCGAAATGACATCTACCAGGTAAGTTGGACAGGGATTATTCAAAATAAGCCGCACACGAAATGCCAATTGGCGTCAGTGGTGAAATTATTTACCACTGCCAAAGGATAATTACATACCATACCATGATCAATGAGGTCATCACAACGCAAAGCACAAAAGTACGCTACCAAAGTGACTACCATGTGATAAACAACCCTAACGCCCCCCCCCCCCCCCCTAGTCACCTGTCTATGACACTTAATAGCAACGATGTCATATTTGTGTACTTAAACAGGCACCCTTAAAACCGCGAATTTTCGCTAAAACTAGTAAATCGTACAAGCATGATAATTAACAAGATGTCATCACTGATGGAATAGAAGGCATTTGCATGGTATCCCCATATAAGCAGTTCATCTCAATAACTTTAAAAGTGAGGAGTGATGAGACCCCTCATACACAGTCAGAACCAACGCTCATCATAAATCTCGTCTTCATCGACACAACTTTGAGTTTAGAGCGGACTCTAGAACTTGGACTACCAATGGAAACAACGACCATAGACGAAACGGCCTAACACCTCGAGATAACGAACTCCACCACCATCACCACTCCCCTCCCTCTTAATTCACCACTATTGTAAAATACATTTCATTAATAATGTAAAATGAGTAGAAAATAAGAGAACCAATCAGAAGCAGGGACAATATACACCATCGAAGGGGAGGGGGGGGGGTTGGCTGGATAAAAGCAAAAGTTGGCTAAGCAGTGCCAGCGGTCTGACTTTCAAGGGCGACAATAGCGGTTTCTGTCGATGATTTTGAAGGGGTAACTGGGGTTGCAGGAAGTGGAGGTGCCGGCGGTAGTGTTTTCAATTCGTCTAAGTGCTTCCGAGAGAAGTGGAAAGCAGGAGTTACCCATCGGCCACATGTACACGGTTCTCCTGCAAAAAAAAATCGAAAAAAAATTATCCATCAACCAAGTACAGACAGTAAGAGAGACAGTAAAACGAAGAGCATTTAAGAAAGAGGATGATTTAAGAGCGAAAGGAATTCGAATATAAAAATTGAATAGCCGGATGGAAAATATCACAAAGACATTAAGGAGTTCATGATAAATTACCTGAGGTACTAGTTGTCCACTTTCTACTAAAAAAATGAATTCGACGAGCTAAATCACACATTAGATTGGATGATTTGGGAGATAACATAGATAGGACACGATAGATCTCCCCATTTTATTCTACCCTCCCCTTTCAATAAACTTAAATGGATGCTGGTTACCTCTCGGCCCAAATCGTTAACCCAGGGACAAATCTACTAATTACTATGAATACACGATCATACACGGAATCGCAGTTTCCTTAAGGACATATTACCGCCTAACATTCAAAATTCATGGCTCCTTCCGTAATTAGTGCTGCATGTCTTCTCACCTATTCTTTTTGGATCTGAGCAGCTGTAGACATTGCGTAATCCAAATGAGCAAAATTTGGGTTAGTAAAATTCTATCTTGATCACATGATAACTCATGTGACCATGATGATCTAATTACCAAATGATGATTTTTATTGATCGCTCATCATGCAAACAGAATTGGTCTTAGCGATGACGATACGCGTTCCAATCTGCAGTTTTGGAAGGATAATACGTTCAATACGGGGATGTGTCTAGTCAAATTCCGAATTTAAATCAGCGGCCACTACATCGGTGTCATTAGTAATTAAACCCCAGGATTGAAGTAAAACATGAAGTTCTCAAATAGGAAATAAGCGAGGAAATGAATAATAGGAAAAAAGGATAATTTATTTTTTATTAAACTAATTCAGAAATTCCTGGTCACCGCAATCCATTCATTAAATTCTAAGAAAATTATAGAGAAAAAAAAATTAGCTAGCGAGAAACAGGCAGGATTGGTTCACGCGTCTTTGAACAGGGTCAACTGTGAACAAAATCCGGTTCAACACACACCTACACACCCCCCCCCCCCGCCACCGTCACCGCCCCCTCCTCCCCCAACACCAAATTCGCCTTTATTCCGTTGTTATGACAACGGTTTAATCGGATTTTTCTTTCGAACAGATTTTGTTAAAGTGATGCAAACGCATAAAGCATAACGCTCATGTTCCTTGAGAACATTTTACGAAAATTTCATCCCAGAAATGGGAAAGCATTCACTTTGTTGTTAGGGGCAAATTCCAATCACTGACTATGAAGCAACGATTGTTTGACCAAAAAATGGTAGAAATTTTTGAGGCGCCTAATTAGGTCATCTCAACAGGATGCCCTCAGTGTTAGACTGCTAGTCGTAACGTACAGGCTGACTGAATCCCTCAATTCAGAGACGTAACTAAGGGAAAAGTTTGAAGATAAATTAAACATGGGGAAATCACCGTTTACTTATTAACATTAAAACTCCTAGGCAAAAATAAAGTCTGATAGAGGTAAAATGTAAAGAATTGGAGGAGGAACAGAAACAAATTAAAACAAATAAATAACTAAAGATGAGCGATTTATACGTTGCCAACTATTGCAACAACAAATTAACAGTGCGTGGCAAATTTTAACCACCTAATAGGCGAAAGATGTATGAAAATTAGGACTTAGAATAAGACCAGTTAAATCAGAAAATTCTAGTTTAGATATATGCGTTAATATTCGTAATGCTAGAGAAACTCTTATTGAAATAAAATACAAAAAAGTTAAGCGAAAATGTTAAACAGAATTTGAAACTTGAACCAGCTGATACAAAAATAACGTACTACTTAATTATAATAGTAGCATTTTCAACTAAAAAATTAACATGTTTAATACACATTTTTTAGCCCACACACACCAACCAACCTTCGGCTATGTCGTCTACAAGAAACCTAGTTTAAAACTTGGAAGATAAGTAATGGAGTAGAGAGAAAGTCAATTGATTAAACAATGCGAAGTGACAGAAACTGCCCAAAACAGAAGAATAATACCAACGGAAGGGCGTGGTAAAGCAGCAGCAACAGCAGCAAAAAGGAGACAATGAAAATCATTCACCCCTTGAAAACAAATTTGTTAGCACTGGTTTTAAAAATATTACCTTATTTCGTAAAAATTTAGTTGACTTATATTAGACTTAGAACGGGGAAATTCACAAACGAAGAAGGAATATATGAGACATAGATCATTGGAAAAAACAGCCATGAATTCACGAAGGTATGCTTTACCAACTAGGGGTGTGGGATAGACTTAGCCCCATTTGATGCAACCCGGACAGAGTATACTCATACGGCAAAAAATTGTTTATAAGCCGGCAGTTAACCTCAAACCACCATGACTCGACTGTAAGTCGTATTCGATCACTTCAATATTACGCACCTGGGGTGTGCGATAGACTAAGCTCCACGTGGTGCACCCTGGGCAACGTTTACTCATACGGCTCCACGTGGTGCACCCTGGGCAACGTATACTCATACGGCTCGACTATTTCGTACTGTGTGTTTCATCTTCCTTTCTGTGAAGCCCGAAGTCAACTAAAGGGCTATTTCTGGCCCGCCTCTCGACTTTTTGCCACTTTGATGTTCCACCTTTCTGTGAAGCCCGAAGTCAACTAAAGGGCTAATAATACCTATCATAACGCCTGCCATTTGAAATAAATAAATAAATAAATTGCAGGGATCATAATCCATCAAAATTATGCAGGTAATTACTTACGAAAAGGAAAGTTCATTTCAAAAATTTCATTAATGGAATAGCATTTTGGAGAGTAAATTAGCAAAATTTCCTACTTTGTAGGTATATGGTTTCGAAAATGAAAATGTCTTGAAATCAAGTTGCCGTGGGTCATACTTTATTTAAATTTTGAAATCATTGAGTCATTCACTTTCTTGCAAGTAGTATATGCTACGTGCATTATCCCAGTGTTTTAAAGCCAAATATTCTGTTTTTAATTTCCTGGACTCTTGTTAAACATAAGTCAACGTATACTCATACGGCAAAAAAGTCTATTAACCGGTAGTTGACTTCTGACTTCTAACTACCATTACCTCACTGTATGTCACATTCTACCACTTCACAGTACTCATCTTACCTTTTTCTCCACTTTTGTGTCTGTCTCTTTACTTCGTTGAATCGCTCTTCTATTCCCCCCCCTCTCGACTCTTTTTCACTTTGATGTTCCTCCCCTCTGTGAAGTCCGAAGTCAGCTAAAGGGCTAATGATAACTATCAAAACGCCAGCCATTTGATATAAATAAATTGACTGATAGTTTGTGGTACTTCGCTGCATTTGTAGCGATGACTAGGTAGATGATACCAACTAAGTCATTTAAGTA